TAGCACTGGTTACTTTGAACAAATAAAAAAGCTTTTGTAGTTGTTTCCTTTATCAGAAAAGAGCATTTGGTAGCCTGATAGATTTCTTCTGCTTCTCTAAATGTTTGACTATGGGGAATTGTCCACAGTCAAAATCAGAATTCGGGCTTTAGCTCATATGCTTAAGGACCATTCTGAGTTTTTTGTTTGTGTGTGTATAAATAAAATTCTTATGTCAGTGATTTTTGTTTTTGTTTTAAACATTCACTGACACAAAAACTATGAGTGATAACCTCATGTTTGAGGCGCCATCATTCTGAGCAACCTAAGAAATGACTTCCAGTTAAATAGGAAGTTTTCCTGAAGCCACAACCTTTTAAGTTAAACAGATGGTTTTGTGGTTAATTGGATAATTTAAAGCAGGTATTTTCAAAGCAGCCATATCAGAATCTGAATCTGTCTTTAGTCACAAAAATGCAATTTACTTTCAAAACTCTCCCCAGAAAAAGTCCTATCTAGCTAGGCACTGGTGGTGCAAGCCTTCAATCCCAGCACTCGGGAGGCTGAAGCAGGAGATCTTGGGAGTTCAAGACCAGCCTGGGCTACAAAGTGAGCGCAAGGCCAGCCTGAAATGCACAGCAAGACTCTGTCTCAAAAAGAGAAAAAAAACAAAAAAACAAAAACAAAAACAAAAAAAAATATCTTATCTCTACCAAAAAACTTCCCCACCTGAACAAGGCAGCAAGTCAAAACCTGATTTGTTTGAATTCACTAAGGAAGACTTAACAAGGGAACATCAAAAATTCCTCAAGACTCCTTACTTCACAGCAAGCTGAAATCTGCACTCAAAAGTCAGCATTCATGTATGTCTTAAGACTTGGCTCTGGGTGGGGGGGACAACTCTTGGGGCCGGGGAGATGGCTCAGTAGAATAACCGCTTGCCTGGCAAGCTTAAGGGCCTGAGTTCAATCCCTGGTTCCGCAAAAAAAAAAAAAAAAGACTTGGCTCTCGGAAATCTGAGTGGCTGGCGATATTCACAATTTAGGACCTAGAATAACTGAGTGGACACACCTGTAATCTAAACTATTGACCTGTATGTTATTTCTTGGCCCCAACTTGTTCCTTACATGCAGGCTCAGTCTTTTCAGTATCCAGGTTACTGTTTTCAGCAGAAGCCAAGAAAACAACTTTGTAGTAGTCAAAATGTTATCCTAATGTATATTGTTTACTTTATTGTAAATAACGGTGAGCAATGTTCAATAAATAGTTTTATGTTCCTTTTAAAAAAACCAAAATATCTTGTCCAGATGTATATGATATTTAAATAGACAGAAGACAACTGCTGCTTAACAGCATGAGAAGGTAGAAAAATAAGTTTCCTTGCATCATTCAGATTAAATATTAGCATAATAATTACTACTGAATCATTTGTGACTTGTGTGATTTATAGCTAATGTTGACCAACACATGAAGAGTAAGTCACTAAAACAAGCAGCCAAAGGCAGAAAAATGAGTCTTAGGGATAAGCTGAAACACATATCCCTTCATCCTGAATCTGGAAAGGCAATGTTGAGAAATGTACAATCTACTATTCCTGTGGCCTTGGACTAGAGCACTAAGCCTCAGTTTCCCCATAAATATGGAAAAAATGCCTCACTGAGCTGTTTCAAAGATCAAAGAAGGGATTTATGTGACAGGACTCAAAAATAAATGCAACAGAATAGTCACTGTTACTTACATTACTCATTTACTAGTAACGATTTCAGGTATACAGTATTAACACACTATTTCAACCAAAATAATGGTATTTGGTTTGATATGAAAACCAAAACTGTGTTTTTTACTGTTTTTTTAAAATTAGAAACGACTATAAGGACCAATCAGATTGAATTTAATTGTTCACAAATTTTATGTGATTGAATTTAGTAAAGTAAAAAGATTGTGTTCTTATCTCTATAATCGCAGTCAGCTGAAGAGGCAAGCTCTGGGACCGCATCGGCCAAGGCTAGGTAGGAGAAAGGGGAGAGGAGGAGGAAGACTAGAAGCCTCGGCTGTAACACAGGAGCAAAACCCTCTCTTGCAAGGGCTCACATCCAACGCCTGTACCACTCGTCCCCCCTCCCTCCCCCCCACTCCCTCCTCTCTGCCTTACACACGCGCGCCAACCTTTCCACCACTGATGACACACACAGCCCCATAATTGTGTTTTTTTTTTTTTTATGGAGAAAAGATAAAAGAGTTTTCAGAAAAGAGTGGTCCTACAGGACAGCTTCAAATAAGCCTCATCTCATAAAAATATACGTTACGAAATAAAGGCCCAGATTCTCTCTGTAAGTACACCCACACGCGGGCAGCTTCGCCAAGCCCACTCATCCTCTGCTTTCTTTGGCATGATATGACCTAGCTAATGAGGCATGCACGTCATAAGCCCTTCAGGGGACTGGAGGACAGTCATGTTTACAAATATTTCTGTCCTTTAAGGAATTTTTTTCAATTAAAAGAACAACACTGTCAGAGGACTTCCTCCACAGTGTAAGGGCGCCTCATAAAAGCTCAGGAGTAGTGAGATTTGCTTAAGGGCTGCTGCTACATTAAATGGTATGAAAAGCCAGCACTGCTTAGGTTGATGGAAGGCAACTCTGGATCTTACAGGAACTCACTTAAAAATCCTTTTCTTTTTCTTCTCTCTTCTCTCTTCCACACTAAATTCAACTTATATTTAAATCATAGAACTTTCTTATACTATTAAAATTATAAATGATTTTGAAGTAGAATTTATGCAATCTTCAAAAGCATAGTGAGATGAATTCAAAATTTTCTTTCTCACACCACATTTGGATAACTTAAGCGGTCCCGGTGAGATAGCTCAGCAGACTAAGTGCCTGCTTAGGCAAGGGCAGGGACCTTGGTTCAATCCCTGGGCACCACACGCTGTGCAGGGCCTGCCCTGCCCCCAGGCACACTGAGCCGGCCACCGAGACTGGGCATGGTGGCGCCTGCCTGTAATCTCAGCGCTGGGGAGGCTGAGCTGTGTAGTGAGACCCTGTACCAAACACATAAATTAAAAAAATAGTAACTGAAGATATACATTTTAATAACTGAAATGGTATAATTTTGTCTACTTTCTGACAAAATTAGTACTGAAGATGAGATTTTTCTTGGTTAATTTACCTTTTAACCTCTCACCTTCGACCCTGGCTGAGTCTAAAGGCAGGTTTCGTAGTGTCCACACTTTCGTAGCTCTGAGCCTTGTAACTCTCTGGTGGGGAGACTGTCCTTAGCAGCACCCCTGGCCTCTGGCCTCTACACAGTGGGCGTCAGTACTAGCCTCCCCCGCCCAGCTCGGACAATTAAATATGCTTTCAGATATTCCCACAGGTCCCCCGAAAGGCCACAATCTCTCTGTATATTGAGAACCGCTGCCCTAAAAATACTAAAATATAAGGGTCTAAATTTTGAAACTCTGGGACACAATGACTATAAAAGGAATATATTTACCTAGCATAATATAGCAGGAAAGTTAATCTATCACCTGAACTTGTATAATCAAGATCCATTACGTAGGCAATTTATTAAGTATCCTCCTATATGCAAAAGAAGACAAAACTGAGTAGAACAGACGGGCTGAATAAACAAAAGCAGCAGAATACTCCTGAAACCGCCCTGTGTTTTCACTCCGCACGGACTGCGGCACAGAATCGGGCTGCCCACCTTTCCTCCCGCAATTTTCGCACTCGCTCGGCTCTGTCTCGCTTCTCCTGCTCTTCAAGTGCTCGCTGCTCGGTCGTGTCCTTCTGGATCCTTTCATTTAAGGTATCAAAGTCTCTGGCAATGATATGTAGTAGCCAATAAAGGCCCTTTTTAATAGACTTGTCAATTTTCTTGCCATACCCCAAGACTGCCGAACAAGGTTCCTAAAACAGACATTATTTGGTTCAAAGTTGTTAAAACTAAAATCTCCACACAAATCTGCACTCAGAAACCAGTAAGTATAATCATCAGCAAGTCAAAAGTAAACCATTTTAAATATTTATAGAAACACCTACTTCCTTAACTGATGGAACATATCTTGCTAGTCCTAGAAATTGAATAATTTTACATATAGTACCTATAAACTACAAGACTCATTATCATATAGGAAGTTGACAGCTATGAGTTAAAATTTCAAACCATTTTATTGAATGACAAAATAGTCCTACTATGAGAAAAATACACCTATTTATTAATATTAGTCAGTTTTAATTTTTTTTAATGTATTTGGTACAGGGTCTCACTACGCAGTTTAGAGTCACGGTGATCCTCCTGTTTTTAGCCCCCCAAGCACTGGGATTACAGGTGTGCGCCACCCGGCCTGGTCTTGGTGGCCCGCTCGGTGCGCTTGGGCCCGGGGATTGAACCCTGGTCCCTATGCTTGCCTAAGCAGGCCCTTAGTCTGCTGAGCTATCTAGCTGGCCCTTGGTAAGTTTTAGTTTCTTAACTAATGAATTTATACCAGTAAACGTCCACAAAGTTCACAACCTAATAATAATTTTACGGAACTAGAATTAAATCTATCCACCTTTGTTAAAATTGTATGACAATTCTCTTGATATACTTTTCAAAATTCATTATGAATTTCTGAATATGTCTTATATTTATACTTTTCATCATTTAAAAAATGTATAGCATAGCACTTTCATATATGTACTTTACAAGAAAGCAACATAAAAACTCTGAAATCAGTAACAATTAAATAGAAAACATATTATAACTAATACCAAACCGTTAGTAACAGCATGATTTCCTAAATAAAAAGATTATTCTTTAACTGCTTAACACCTTTATAAAAAACAAATATGAATCTAAAAAGCAGGACAGAAAACAATGCTTACGATCTGACACAGGCACTTGTGCTCATTAACCAGTTTTTCTAAAGACAGACATTCAATCACATCAGCTTCTCCTAAAGCCCCTTCTTTGTCTTGTTTATTTGCCAACCTAAAAAAAAAAAAAAAGAAGAAGAAGTGGTTTTGTCATAATAATCAGTACACACCTTGAAGATATCCGTTAATGAATGGCTTCATTCATCATGCGATGGGGCTGGAGCTGGAGCTCAGTGGTACAGCACTGCCCAGCCTGCCTGAGGCCCTGGATCCGATCCTTAGCACTGCATTCAAAAGCAAAAGAAAGCACTCATTTTGGCACTGATTACCCTGTTTTAATTCTCTCCATTTTCTCTCTTGACTCCCTTCCTCCCTCTCCATCTCTTGGTCCCTTCCCACTTGCAAAAGATCTGTTTCCTCTTAGTTTTGGCCATGTTCCTCTATGCAACAGCTTTAAATCTGATGACAGAACTAGTTAAAAAGTATTGCAGTATCATCTCATCAATGTTTATTTATTATTGGTAAAATAAAGTTCATAAGCACTGGCCTAGAGGCCAGGGAGATGCCTCAGTGGAATAAGCACTTCCCTGGCAGCACAAGGGCCTAAGTTCAATCCCCAGGTGTGGAAAAAAAAACAAAAGACAAAGAAATGGCCTAGAAAAGAAAATCAAGACGTGTCAAGAAAGCACAAACAATAGACCAATGGCTCCAAAAGAAGAAACAAACAAGAAGGGAATTGGAATTGGCCTGTTTTCCATGGACCATGAGCATATATTATGCCCTTAACTTTTAAAATGAATTGTATCATGGAGCCGGGCCTGGTGGCACATGCTTGTCATCCTAGCACTCGAGAGGCTGAGGCAGGAGGATCACTGCAAGTTCGAGACCAGCCTGGGCTACAAAATGAGCCCAAGGCCAGCCTGAACTGCATAGTGAAACCCTGTCTCAAAATTAAAATAAATAAATAAATAAATAGTATCATAAAAGTATCTGTCA